CATGAACTACTATAGACCTTCAAAGGATAATTATGTTCTGATATTTTATATTTTTAATGTCAAAAAGCCCAAAAGCAACGATGAAATTACATTATGTGTCCTTCCTCTTCGCCATAGAGCTCCATTATTGTACAAAAATTATTAAAAACACATCAATGAGCCACACTGTTCCTTCGTTACCATGAACACACACTGATCATGATCTAATACAGTCTTTTGTTTACATGTGCAGACGTGTAAACAACATATTTTTTGCATTCGTTTTCCTTTCCAGGTCTTTTCTGGCTTTGTTCAGGTTTTTGTGAATTTGTTTGAAAGGTCGTTATTGAATTAACCTGAAATAGACCAGAAAAGGTGCCAGTATCCTGATTCAGTGCAACACTAAACACAACATGACCCCGATTATTGAGCCATTCTTTAATCCATTTCAACATTTTAAGATATTTTGAGCTCATTGTTAAATGTTCTGGCATTTCACACACACAAACTCTAAAAACAAATGCTAAAAATCAATCTGTTTGAGTTATGTCAACTTAAAATTAAATTATATTCAACAAATGTTATTACATTGTGTTTTGCGAATTAGCTTTTTCCTCTATAATAAAGGTATTTTAATTACAACTTAATTAATATTCGGTCGTAACTTGAAAATTTCAATCTAATCCATTTCAAACAATTTTTGAGTTAAAATAACTTATTGTTAAGTTATTTGTAACTTATTATGGACTCATTGAAATGTTTGCAACTTAAAATGTTTATTTAAATCACTTAATTATGATGTTTATCTTGCAACCATGCATTTAATTAAGAGGTGATCCTCTGAATTACTTTGTGGAGTTCACCTGTATTCTGCAAAGACCGACCTCTAACCCTCACATTTACTAATTAACCCGAACCATCTCACTCCTCATTCCTAAACCCAACCAACCAAATCAACAAAGAAAACCAATACTCACAAGAGCACCATATGTGGATTAATCCACCGGTTAAAATAGTCCCCAACATTTGCACTATTTACTCCTGTTTGTTTAATAAAAACTACAGTGAGCAGCTGTTTTAGGAAATTACTAAAAATTATATATTTGTGATCTTCAGTAGGAACCAGTGGGCTTGGATCTGTGAGCAGTCAGGAAGTATTAAGAGACGGACGAACACGTTGGTTTAAGACGTTTTATTGGATTTATTGATAATTATCATCAAACTTTAACAAAAGAAATGTAAAATGTATCCTCAAATAAAATCATCTTAAATTGGTCAAATGTTGAATGAGGTCTGGAACTATGTGATCTGAGATGAACAAGATTACAGATCTATCCAGACGCTGCAATCTGTCCAGATTAGTTCTTGACACATTTCAGACGCCGCCAAAAAAAAAAAAAGTACTGAGGTTTGATTCCCAGAATGCAACTGGAACCACACAGATTACACAGCAGGATTAGTTCACACCTAATCTGCACATATCAGACACAATTTAATCCCGCTTCCATAGTGGAAATAATCACAGTTGAGGTGATATAATCCAGACATAATCTGGCTGTAATCCAAGAATTATCAACAACAGCCTCTATTTGACCTTTAAAGACCAACGAGGAGGGATCCTCGTGTACAGTGGTGCTGTAATTCTGATGTTTATATTTCTATAAATTCAAACCATATATGAAAGTGGATTTAAAGGGAGACTGTGTGTCACTTTTTAAATAATAATCTTACTTTTATAAGTGAAAAATAGAGTTTATAACCAATAAAACTCTTGTTCAGCTCAACACAGCAAGTTTTTAGATGCATATTCGTGTGTAAGGGACATTACTGAGTCAGTTTCTGGACTGTGTGACTCTTATTTCAACATTATCTCGAGTTATAACGAAGAATGTGACGCCACTCTCATGTCAATATATAGCTGGAGTTAGGGGTGATTAGCCTAGCTTGCTAGCTAGCATAACGACTGAAAGTTGTGAGAAAATCTTTTTTTTTGTGTGACCCAAAATATAGAGAGCTTGTAGTTTATTAGCTGTGTTCTGAGACCAGAGTTGATCATAAAACACTTTTTTTTTTAAATTATCTGCGTCATCTTATTATCTCGCTAGAGACTGGGCTAATTAGCTTCAGGACAGTTAATGATCTCGTTAGAAAGCTTTTCTCTCCCATCATCAGCTCTTATTATTAATCAAATTATCTTCAACCCCTGAAAACAAACTAATCAGCAAAGTACAGAGCAAATAGAAAGAGGTTGTGACTGACTAGCGTTAGCAGTTAGCTCATCAACTTACAGTGATGATTCAAGGTTTCTCAGGGTTGCACAGATGAATCTTTTCCTGGTGCAATCAGGCTTTTAGAGGTGTTGCAAGGTGTATTTTGTACCGTTAACCGATTCCTTCTGCTGCCAGTGTTTATGCTATGCTAAGCTAACCACCCCCTGAACTATTTATGTAAAGCACATTGATAGTTATCCCAATCTAAAACTCATATAAACCATATTTTTGCTGTATATTCTTTTTAATGGTCCTCATTAGGGTTTAAACTGTGACATAAAGAGTAGAAACAGGTGTTTTAAACATGCTAAATGTGTGTTTATTGGCTGTTTTCTGGATTATTATCTGGTTGAGATGAAAGTATAATTTAATAACAGCCTTGTTTTCAGTGAATATGTTGTATTTGTGTGCCTGTGTAGGTGATAGAGAGAAGGGATTACCTCTTTGTGCCCTCTGGACCTTTGCATTCCTCCTCTCTACATGCAACTATAGCTTACAGCCTTACCAGCCCAACACATGACAAAAATGCGTTGGTCAGTGGTTTCCTTTGATAGTTAAAATGCTTACAGGCAGGCCAGAGGGGCCGGCGGCGTTTCCAGGCTATGCGATGACCCGGTGGTTTTGGCACGGGCCAACTGTGATGACGAGAGGCTTTCTATTGTGCTGTGAGCCTCTACGTTTGGCCTTTGCCAGAGTATAAAAGCTCGGGTCGAGCGTTGAAGGGACCAGCACGAGCCAGCCTCCCTCACACGGCACTGCAAGCTATACTAACGCAGGTAAGGACACACAGACGCAGACATACGCAGCAGAACATCCACCATAGTACAGGGGAACAACCACGCATCCAGAGCCAGGGCCCACTCCCTGCCCACCACACCCAGGCGAACCACCCTCAGTCTGGGGGGGGGGGAAAGGCCCAAATGAGCCTCCCACATAAACAGCAGTTAGTCCAAATCCCCAAAAACATACCTACCTACAAGCCCTCCGACAATGTCACCGCCACGCTCACTCCTCCTTCCCTTTCACTGTCTCCTCTGCAGTCCTGTCACTTCCATTTACACCTCTATTTCTGTTCATCCCCTTGTCTCTTCCTCCATCTCTCACCCAGACTCTCCTGAAGCCCCTCACCATGTCTCAGACTGCCAAGTCCGCCTCCAGCCAGGGCACCGATGCCAAGGACAAGGGAGCCCCAGCCCCCGCTGCCTCCAGCAAGGCCACCAAGACCGGCGAGCCCGGCATGGGATCCTACAGAGTGAGTCACCGCAGCGTTAGTCTGCACAGACCGCCTTTCTACACAATGTGTACATTTAGTTTGATTTAAAGGGCCAGTTCAACAATATCACATCACTCTGAGCCCGTTATTTTCTCAGGTTTTCATTTGAGTTTTGAATCTTTTAGCAGCAAAATATTATTGTGAAATGCAGATTATTGCTTGGATTAGTTTCCTACATACCAATTAATTTATTCAGTGCATTTAACAGGGTTGTTTACTGTGATGGAAGAAGTATTCAGATCTTTCACTGAAGTACAGTAGCAATAGCGATACTCTTTTTTTATTATTGCTATAGCATTTTAATGCAGTAGCTAGCCACGGTAGAGCTAACATTAAATAGTTTATATACTGTTTGGTAGTGTTATATTTAATCCAACTAAAACACTACCAGAATATATTTTCTTATGTTTTTGTGGATAAAATCATCTGTAAAAGAAATGTAGTGCAGTAAGTTTGGCGGGGTGGAAGTATAAAGTAGGATAAAACACAGAGATGAGTTATCATGAACTGATGCTGATGCTTTCACGAACAGAGGGTTGATTACAAGCTTGGATTGAATTCATAGAGTCATGTTTTAAAGGACATTGAGTCAGTCTTTGTCTCTGTAGCTCACAGTAGCTCTCCTCCTTCAGTAGGGTCAGATTCCCACTGATGGACATGGTGCTTGCTGTCCTGCCCACCGGTGTAACTTGTGATATCTCCTCTGTGCAGATCATGATGTTCGACCAGGAGAACTTCCAGGGCAGGATGATCGAGGTCCAGAATGAGTGTATGAACGTGTGTGACCGTGGCATGGATAGAGTGCGTAGTATCATTGTGGAGTGCGGCCCGTAAGTGGACACACAAACCGGATTTAACCACACAAGCGCTTCACGCTCTCTCTGTTCACACATGCTGTCTTTCCCTCTAATTCGTCTCTCCTGTGCTCTCTCCTCCCCTTGTGACCCCCCTGTGTCTGGCCGACCCCCTCCTCCAGCTTTGTTGCCTTTGAGCAGAGTAACTTCCGTGGGGAGATGTTCATCCTGGAGAAGGGAGAGTATCCTCGCTGGGATACCTGGAGCAACTCCTACCGCAGCGACTGCCTCATGTCCCTCAGGCCCATCCGCATGGTTGGTTTAACGCTGTATTAATTCTCAGAGCTCTCAGAGACACAATACACTTTCATATATGACGCAAGTCTTAACATTTGAGAGGCTGGAAGCAGTAAATGTTTTGGCATTTTTTCTTGAAAAATGAGTAACGCAATTAATTAATAATCAGAATAATACAGATTAATTGACAAATTGTTTCACTCTAGAGGCAACTTTGATACTTTTACATCCAAAAATGTCAGTTATAGCCAGCAAAAGCTCTGTTTCCCCCCAAAGGAGAAGGATCTATCATCTGTACGGTGGCCTTTTGGGACATTTAGGACTCTAAGATACGTCTTTATCTAATTTCACATGCTAGTATTGTGTTTATTCATCATCTGGATGCCACAAAAGCCTGCACTAAATTTCATATCAATCCATCCCATAATGCCGACATATTTCAGAGGGTGCAACCAGCAGCGGCGCCCCGAGAGCCACAGCATGGCTACAGCACGAAAACAGGAGCATCATTAATTCACATGCAGATGATGTAACATGAGGACTAACTCTTAATGCCTCATTTCCTCCCTGCAGGACAGCATGGAGCACAAGATCTGCCTGTATGAGCTCTCTGACTTCAAGGGCAACAAGATGGAGATCCAGGAGGATGATGTGCCCACCCTCTGGGCGCACGGCTTCTGCGACAGAGTGGGCAGCGTGAGGGTGCCCGGAGGATCGTGAGTACACACAAACACACTGAAATGAATGAATCCAGTAGTAGAGGATCAAGCCTTGTGTTTTTTAATGAGAGAAGCCTGGGAGCAAATCAATCTGCTCATTTTCCATATATAAATAAAATAGAGGCTGTGTACTGGAGCTTCAGACGACGCCACAGGCCTCCAGACTTCCACTACAATGTGGTTGTTCATAGAGAGTACGGTGACATGTCATCACAAGGCTTAAAGCTGACTGCGGGATGATTTGTTTGTTGACAAATTTGTATTTTTAGCCAGAAATAGTTCTTTATATTTTTATGCTTTCAAGGTCTCACAGTAAAATCCACATCGACTGATTCGGACTGCTCCACCACGAGCCTCCAGAACAGCTCTTTAAGCACCAGTAGAGCCTCATAAATGACCCTTACAGCCTCCTCAGTGACCACAGAACCTCCTAAAGGAGCTCTAGTCTCAGAAATTCTTTAATATGAACGCAGTAGAGTAGCCACATGATAAACATCCTATAATAGAGCAACATAAACACATTAAAGTCGGTGTAAAGCATTATGTGGACTGTGAACTAACTCTCTCTCTCTGTCTCTCAGCTGGGTGGGTTACCAGTACCCCGGATACAGAGGCTACCAGTACCTGTTCGAGTGCGGTGACTACAGACACTACAACGACTTCTGCGCCTTCCAGCCCCAGATCCAGTCCATGCGTCGTATCAGGGACATGCAGTTCCACCAGAGAGGATGCTTCACCTTCACCTCCGCCAGCAAGTGAGCGACGCCTGCCGGCCGCCTGGCGCTGCGGTAGCCCCTGCAGCCCTCTCAGCTTTTTATTTCTCCAAAACGCCCAAACCCTTCCCCAAAATCTCCACCATCATCGCTCCATCCCGAAAGGAAAGACAGAATGAGAGCAAAACACACGGGACAACCTTAACTGACTTTTTATGGTGCTAAAAAATAAACATGTTGTGAAAGACCTGAAACCTCCGTGGCTGGATTACATTTATTCTTTGTGTATAGGAATGAATGGTGTGTGGGTGGTTTACTTTTTCATTTATTTTCACCTCTAAAGGCAGACCTAGCACTGTAAGAGTGTCTGTGATAGACTGAGTGCAAGCTAGATTTAAATTGAACTAAATTATATTCTTTTAAACCTAAAATAAAAACATTGACTTACCAATAGTACTAATTATAGTCAATATAGTGTTACAGACTTACTTTAAGTCCAAATATGAATAGATCTGGGATATCATATATGATATGAAATTAAAAAATTTATTTCTTACATGTGTTAAAACCAAAATTAAGAAATATTAACAAAAAACTGACAAATCCTGACAGTAAAAGACCGTAAAATTCTAAATAGGTTAAAGTTTCTCTAACAGTAAAATGTAGTAAAGTGATATATAAGTCAAGGTAATAATGGTGGAATTAAACTATCCCCCCCCCCCCAGGTTGAGAACCACTGCTTTAAGCTACTTAATGGTGAAACTGTAAAGGGCTTAAAGGAGCAGTGTGTAGGATTTAGTGACATCTAGTGGTGACATTGCAGATTAGAACCGACTAAACATCCTTTAGTCAACCATGGAGAAGGTAGGAGAAACTACGGTGGCTGTGAAACTCTATAAAAACGCCCCAATTTAGATCCAGTGTTTGGTTTGTCTGTTCTGGGCTTCTGTAGAAACATTGTGGACTCCACCAGAAGAGGATCTGCTGCCTCTGTGGATAAAAACAGCTCATTTTAAAGGAACAAAAACACAGTGATTCCTATATTCAGGTGATTATACACTAATGAAAACATATCTCCATAACACACCGGACCTTTAAAATTACACGTCTCATTTTAAAACAGGCAAAAGGTATACTTACACAGAGCAATGTACATTAATTAATATATAACTATATGTTTAGTTACAATTCCACAAACAAACAGGAGGTGGTGGAGTATCTGAGTCGCTCCTCTGTGGGACTACAGACGGACAATCTTCATCAATATGTTTAACAGGATGTTTAATGTTGTTTTGTGGAGGTTAAATCAGAAATATTTGCATCATCTTTTAATAAAATGACTAAATATATCATAATTAAACTGAGTGAAATAGCTGAAACACTCATTTGAGTTTATGTCACCTCCTGTTAATTTGGTGCCTTCAAGTGGTCCCTAAAAGTTGTAGGATAATGTAGTTGCATTGCTGTATTTGAGTATTTTGATCCAAAAAATACAGAAAAAGAACAAATAGACTTTAAACCTGCAGCTGATTTCTGATTTTAATATTTTTTATCTATTAATGTCCAACATTTAACCATAAAATGCCAGAACAAATAATTATTTTGAGAGAATACTTGGACAACACCTCCTAAAAGTCCTCAGCAACCACTAGAACTGTATTATGGGAGCTCACTCGTTTAGAAGAGAGAATAATGACGATTTAGGAGCCAAGAAAGTTTGTTTTTACTAAATTTAAAATGAGTGAAGTTTTAAGATATATACTTGAATGGTGAAATAATCTTTATGAAACTGAATTAGTGATGAATCCCCCTCAAGCATGAATTATAAATACATTCACACAGGATCCGTGATGATGAAAATACAGAAAAATAGAAATGTGAGGTAAAAATAGCAAATTGTCAATATTTTAGAGACAATTTTACAAATCATGTTTTCAGGGAAGATCCTCAACGTCACCGGTTTGGGATCAATAAAGTCGATCAAATCTTATCTTATTATTTAGAAAAGCAAGTACATAAGCATTCTTAAACTAACAATAGAGACTGAAATGTTACTGAAACACAACAGTTCACCATTTAACTCCTCAATGTCACTCCACAGAGCTCCAGCCCCCTGAACTCCAGCCCCCTGAACTCCGGTAATTCCGACGGCACGTAAAGGCAGCACCGCTCTTCATAACAAGCCCGAGAGGAAACATGGCGGCTCTTTTCACTGCGAGGAAAGGTGAGAAATAAACAGATTATAACGACAAACAAGCTCTTTTAAAGGAAGATAGAGTCGCCTGTATCTTTATTAGCTGTGTGTTCGCAGATAAACGCACTGAAATATCAACAGGAGCGAACTAAACCGCCTGTTAGCTCCTCGGCTACATAAGGTTATGAGTTAGCCGGCCAGCTGCGATCAATAACTTATCGATTAGTGATTATCAGAGAGGAAGAGGAGCCGAAGGGGTTGCCACAGAGTTTAACAGCTGTTCTGGTTCCTGTGAGGTTTCTGTTTAAAGCTGTTAGTCTGAGATGAAGGTGACTTGATGATGATGAAGATGAAGTTCACCTTTCACCTAAATGAAACCAGTGAGCCGGTGCTGCCTTCAAGGACAGTTGGTGCAAACAGTGCTGGACAAATAAATCTGTATCTCAATATAATGATAAACTTTATAATGATAAACTTTATAAATATGATAAAGTTTATACATATAATGATAAAGTTTCTGAAATAGAATTAAATGTTCTTCCATAACAAACCGACCGAGCGGTAAATAATGCAGATGAACCTGTTTGTTACTTTCTGAATGTTAGTTTTGGATTTCCTTCGACAGCAAAACAAGAGGACAGAAATGTCAATAAGATTTACTGATTTTATTCTAGAAAACAACAGAACATCCTCAGAAAAGCAAACGGAAACAGAAACTGTTCAAGATTTTAGCATCATTAGTGTATTTAAAGTAAAAACTGATGTAATTCTGCCAATAATCCCCATTTCTACTGAATCTAACTGTAATCTGATTACATTTCTTACAGTTACAGTACCTTTTTTTGGTATCCTGATTACGTTTATACGTTTGTCCTCTGAGACGTTTGTTACAGATAATCCAGCAGAGTTTTATACATTTATATATTTTATATTTATCTGGATTAATAAGTAAAGGAACTCTTCATCCTCCAGTTTCTCAGACAGTCGGACATGTTTTTACTGGACAGGAAGGGGATGAAAAACTACAAATGTAATGGAGTAAAAAGTGCTATATTTGTTTTTGTGTTGATTGTAGCGCCCCCTGTGGACAAAATCAGTACTGCTGCTGCCTCATTTCATTGATTTCAAGGGGAATCTGTTGCAGACATTAAGAATAACTGTATAATATTCTCTGTGTGGAGTCTGTTTGTTTATGTAGATCATATCATATATTATATTATATTATATTATATATATAATAT